CCCCATTATTTGAGAAGTACTGCTTCAGCCCCACTGCTTGCAAACATCCATCTTTCTTTCCATGTCCTCTGAATGTTGACAATGGCAGCTTTCATCTTAAATTGAATTAAATTTAATTTGCTGCATCTCATGTCTGGCACCCTATAAACCCACATGATGATTAAGGCAATTTTCAGCTAAATTAAAGGCCATTTGAGTAATAAGTTGCTTTTTTTTTTTTTTTCAAAACAGTAGGCTCAAAGTGAAACAGAGACTCGTCTCTTCGGTGAGAAAAAAAGGAGTAAATGTGCGTGTGTGTTTCCCGTTAATTATAAGCTGCTACGATGAAGTCAAACTGTGTTCTGGATCTAATCTCTATCAGATATCACCTACCAATGACACTTTTAGCAAAAGAGGCACTTTTAAGCGTGGCCAGCCCCAGGTCACCGATCTTGACGGAGCCGGTGGGGCCGGTGATGAAGATGTTGTCACACTTGAGGTCCCGGTGGATGATGGGAGGAGTGCGCGTGTGCAGGAAGTGAAGCCCTTTAAGGATCTGACGACTCCAGCGCTGCAGCAGTTTCAGCTTCATCTCTTTGAACCTCTTCAAGTACCTAAAAGAAAGAGGATAAGATTCCATCACATCAAGGGGAAGCTTTTGACAGCCAAGAGGAAGATTTAAAAAACATCTATTCTCTGTTATTTAATCCACATCCACTATAAAAATAGAAGATAAGTTATCAAACATAAAACAAATCTTTATGTTTTACAAGACAAGTGACACTTAAAAAATATTTGCTATTTATACCTGAGGGAAAAAATATCTGCTGCGAGAAAAAAAATTAAAGAGAGAAAAAGGATGCAGAAACTCACGTCTTTAAAGTGCCGGAGGTCATGAGTTCAGTGATGAGGATGATGCACTTGTGGCCCTTCATCGTCGACTTCCAGGAATCGTGGAAGCGAACGATGTTTGGGTGCTGGAGGCCCTTTAGCATCTCCACTTCCTCGCTGAAACGCTGCCGCTCTGCTTTGGTTAGCTTACGTGTCTGCAGGGAAAAACAACCTCATGGTAAACATGTTGACATCTACAGTTTCATACACAGTTTCATATACAGTTTCATACACAGTTTCATATAGTTTCTACATCCAGATTTCTTCAATTATTTCAAAATATTGTTTTTTTGTTTCTGCTTTAGTAAACTTGAGATTTTAGATAATCTTGATACTTTGTTACCATTTTGCTATTTTTAGCTTCAGTCTAGCCTTTACTGTTTTTAACTTCTACAATGTTTTCTAAAACATTAAGCTAACCTCTTGCTACTTTTAGCTTGTAGCTGCTGTTCTACTACTTTAGTTTTTTCTAGCCTTTTTTTCCTGCAGTTAGCTTCTGGATCATCTTTTCATACCTAAAAGTTAGCATTTTGTATGTTTCAATTTTTTACCTACAATTTAGTTGGTGTTCGATTGCTTTTTTGCTGCTTTAAACAAAATTTTTGCTACTTTAAGTAGTAATTTTGCTGCACTATGTCTTTTGCATTTTTAGCATTAAGCTACCATTCTGCTATATTTAGCTTTTAGATAGATATCAGCTGCTTTAAGTCTGAGCTAACCTTATGCTTCTTTTATCCTTTGGCAAGAATTGTCCTCGTTTATATTTTAGCTAACATTCTGCTACATTTAGCATGTAGCTACCATCCTGTGATTTTTTTATAGCTAGCTTTTTGCTACCTTTCGAATTGAGCTACTGTTCTGCTACGTTTAGATAAAACTATGCAAATTTTAGCTACTATTCTGTTATATTTAATTTTTAGCTAACCATCAGCTCTATTTAGTTTTAGCTAATTTTCTTTATTTTAGCTAATATTTTGGTCCTTTTATCTGCTAACATTCTGCTATGTTTAGCTCGTAATTACCATCCTGTGGTTTTTATAGGTAGCCTTTTGATATGCCTAGCTAATCTTTTGCTACTTTTAGAATCAAGCCACTTTTAGCTACAACTTTGCTATTTTAGCTTTTAGTTAGCCTTTGCTTTGTTTAGCTTTTAGGGAACTAAATTTTAGTTAGTTTTTCTTTATCTTTAGCTAAGCTTTTACTGCTTTCAACTAGCTTTTTAAGTTTTTTAGCCTTTATTTAGTCTTTTGACACTTTTAGCCTTTAGCTACCACTGTGCTTTTTTAGTTTTTAGCTACAGTTTTTCTACATTAGCTAGTATTTTAGTATGTTTTAGGCTTTCAGCTAGCATTTTGTTGCTTTTAGCCTTTAGCTAGGTCTTTGCAGGATTTTGTTTTTCGCTCGTGTTCTTATTACTTTTAACTCTTATTACTCGGTTTCCGCTTTGTTAAAATAGTTTTTAATTTTTTTTATTTAAGATAAGAGTTTTGCATAAAACAGGTTAAAACTCTTTTTTTTCACTTCTATGAGAGAAAGGAAACAATGACTGATTTATGATGGTTTACTTTAAAACCTCATGTTAGCACACAGTCCCTAAAGAAAACTGAACAAGGTTGACTGAATTTACAAACCATAAAATATGTTTGAAAGCTCTACAGCTGGTAGTAAATGAACCTGGAGGTGTTTGGTCAATCGTAAAAAAAAGAAGTTGTCTGACAAATAGTTCTTCTCAGAATCATGCATTGTTGCATAAGCTGATGGTGATAAACAAAGCAAACAAAAATACAAAACCAAATTGATCAATCATCACTACGTACTTTAATGAGCTCACTGTCAGATTGGAAACCACAACTTCATCCATCTTCCTGACCCCTTCCTCTTCTCGGTTACATAATCTTATTTATTGTCCAATAAAGCTGCAACTTCAGAATTTATGGAAGAGATTTCCAAACTCTGTGCAAAACTGAACTCAACACTCCAATCAAGTCGGACCAACAAAGACATATTTGTGCTTCCTGCAGGATGAATGAGCTGATTTAGCTTCTGGTGGAGGAACTGGGCCTGTGGTGGGTGGTTGGTGGAAAACTCCTGGGAGACTCCAGGACCATGAATCCAGCATTGAGACAGATTTCTTGCTTGTGCTTACGGCCAGATTTACTGCACTCTCTCTTTCCTGTCTGCTTTTTTCCTAGTAGGTCTGCAGCTGATTCTGAGCTGTAATCATAATTACAAAAGGCGGACTGTCTAAAAGACGGAGAAGAATGAGGTCACATGGTGAAAAAGGATTTTTTACTTGCGTCAGTCATCTGTCAAAAAGTCATATAACACCAGCGACTCCAGCATGTGGCTGCCTGTGTAAAGACAAACAGGCGACCTCTGACCCTATGTATTTCATTTAGGTCGATATCAGTTTAGGACACAAACGAGACCTTATCCTTTCATATGTAAAGCCTTTCAGAAAACGGGTTTAGGGTTAATGGTAATGATTTTAACAAGTCACAGGGATACATTTACACTAATTTAAATGCATCTTCTGTGTCAGCTTCAATATAATTTATATGGGAAGCACTTAGTTTTTTTTATTGACACTGAGGTTTACTGCTGCCATAGATCAACGTGCCTTAAAAAATCATAAACACATATAATATGGTATAAACCTAGACATAGATGTAGGAGTGTGTGCTGTTCAGTAATCTGTGAGTCACTGGGTTTGTGGGACTGATGTGCATCTGGATGTTTGTGTATCTAGTGTGATAACATCAGACCCCCGTGTAGTGAGCTTTGTCGCCTGCGGACAGACGCCTGTGCAGAGAAATTAAAACATTTCACATCTCAGTGTTGGTGTGTCCTCTGTGGCGTGGAGCCCAGCCAACGGGACATCCTGGCACTTTGAAAACCACAAAACACGACGGCTTGGCATGCCGGATGGCATGACTGCGTATTACTAAAACATCCTGGAAAACCAAATAACCACGCTGCGGCTGACAAGCTGTGTTTATAACATGTGAGCTGTACCTGAAGATTCATGTTTAATCAAAACTTGTTTGAAAACAGACAAAATTCAGCTAAAAATAAATTAAAACCTGGAAAATCTCATGGAACACTAGAAAAAAAGAACATTTTCTGTCCAGAAGGACTTCAGTAAAATTTACAGAGGCAGCTAAAACTGAGTTGTTGATGCTAAAAGTGGTAAAACACTAGCTAATAAGAGAAAGAAACAGATTAATAGTTAAAGATAAAAGAAGCAAAATGCTAGCTAAAACTGAAAAAAAAAAACAGTAGGTAAATATTAAAAGTAGCAAACGACTAATTAAAAGTTGCAAACAGAAAGCTAAAAAAGAGTATGAACGGGGTGCTAAGCGTAACAAGAGGGTAGCTAAAAATATGAACTAGGATAGATAAAAGATAAAGCCTGGTTAATAGTTAAAAATAACAAATGCTGCCTAAAAGCAGCAAAATAGTTAGCTAAAAAGTAGCAATTATACTTCTAATAGTAGCAAAACTACTTTTAAATAGCATATGAATACATGTTTATAGATAACTAGCTAAAAGCTACAAGTACAAAATGCTAATTGAAAGTTGCAAACAAAATGTTACAAAAGGTTAGCTAAGATAGAGGTAAAATGGGTTAAAAAATCAACTGGTTATGTAAAAGTTAAAAGTATCAAAAGCCTAGGTAAAAGATACAAAGAGCAAACGATAGCTAATAACAGCCAAATTGTTAGCATATTTACTTTTAAATAGCCTTTAACTATTATTTGAAAATGACTAGCTAAAAGCAACAAGCAGCAAAAGGCAAACTACAGGCAACAGCAAAAAAGCTAAAGGCTAAAGCTGTCAAAATTGTTGCAAAGTGTGTTAAAAACTAAACATATTAAAATACTAGCATGTCAAGAGATGTTTTGAAAATGTAAGGGGATATAATACTAAAAGTAACTAATTCTACGTTAAAACTAAAGTAGCAACAGACTAGCTAAAAGCTAAAGGTGTTAAAGGCTAGATAAAAGTAACAAAATGCTAGCTTTAGGCTAAAAGTAGAAAAAGCAAATAGGCTAAAGCAGCAAAAAAAGGCAAAAGAGCAAGAATGAAAAGAGATCGATGTTTTTGAAGGACCAGAATAGATCGCACTGTATTTCTAATGAGGAAATATTTGCAAATTAATTTAAATATTTTGTAAAACATAACAAAAAACAAACGTCTCAACACCCACCTACTGATTGAGCTGAATTTTTTTGTAATAAAAGGGCTAAAATAGCACAAAGTTAGCAGAAAAAGAACACAGAAAATTAAAAAAACAATACCATAAATGCTGAGTCAGCTTTCAAACAATAAATCATGCCAGAAAGAAGCAAAGCATTAAGAAAACAACAAAGCAAAAAGCACCGACTTTGTCATCACTGCGATGAAGTCATATGATGATGTTATTGCTGGTGTGTTGGAGAAAATACACACACTAAAAGCCAAAACTAAGAGTAGAAGGAGGCTTGACTCTCATTTGACTTTGACTCTCATTGTGCTTTCTTTGTTGTTGTATATGTGCGGGTATACGCATAAATATATACATGCAGATGTATGTGGGCATATTTAGCACATTTTATTATTTTATTCTTTCTATTTCTTTTAATGTGTATTTGCACTGCTGTGGGAGTGGCTCTAATTTCATTATACACGCATGTAATGACAATAAAAGACATTTACACTGAACATAATAATGCAGTACTGCAAGACGACACCCTCAGAGTATGTTTTCTGAACAACTCTCAGCTACTTTCAAGCCAAATTTTATCTTAATATCTGTAAAAATGACTGAGTTAAGAACATTTTTGTGTTGGCAATCTTCAAACCAAGTGGTTCATGAGATATTTTGCTAACAGACACAGGCAAAAGTATTTTCACCTGCCTTCACCTTATGGCAGCCTGAGCCAAAGAAATAAACCATCCCCATCTTGAGAAGTCTAGTCTCATTATTCGTGTTATTTTTAGCCGGTGAAGGGTTGTGTGTTAATCTGAGAGCTCTGCCATAGCTGGGGTTGGAAATACTTGGGCTTGTTTCCACATAAGTGGAGTTACGCAACTCCTGTTGATGGTAGAGATGCCATCGGTATTAAGAAGTCCCTGTCCGTGGTTCTATTATGACAAGCGGGACATGAAGGCC